CAACCTCCTATTTCCCAAGACAATGCTTGCCCAAAAGCTCAGGCACCCAATCTTTGAATCACTGCCTGTCGAAGCTGAGACAACGGCGACCACCGCCTCACCCATACCATGAAGCTTGAACTACAGAGGAGTTATTCAACCGAATAATACTAGCAGGACTGCCAGAGAATACAAACTCCCAAATTACGTGATCTTCCAAAAGTCTCGAGTAGGACATAAACACAAACCCGAAAACTAATACAAATGAATCCTACCCAGCTGACCCAATACATCTCTTGCAAAACGCAAGACACTGGTATCACAACACACCCAAACCATGGAAACAACAACACATAAATCAGATCGCAGCCTCACCATTTCAAAACCCAACACCAAGAGCAAGAAGCACACATCTCCCAGCTCCCCAAACCACGAAAGATCGTACACAAATTAGATTGTATAAACAACAAAGCATTATACGAACGCAGAACCAAACATAGGACATCGTTAACAAACCATGACATAAAACTCAAAACCAAAACCTATAAACTCCCACAACCCCTGACAATCATGCACCTAAACCAAACAATTATGCAGACGCTGAAACCTTGAGAACAATCACTATCAGAATCACCATCATTAACGAATCCAACCCTAGAACCTACTCTACTCCTCTTCATTGAAAAGAACACACACAAAGCCTCGCCATAGCAACCCACACTCTGTCATAAACCTTACCAATGAAACAGATTGGTAGGTTATCCATAAACAAAGGAGCAGATCCGAAGGAAAGAACCTGAAACACTCACCCTCCTACTGATTAATCAAACAAACAAAGACTGGTTCACTATGGCTTTAACACAAATATCATGCGAGCAAAAATCACTATCACAACCAGACTCCAAAAACTGGCTAGAAATCTACGCAGTAACTCAAAAACATTGAAACTAATGTAAAAAATAACCCAAACTCAAGCACAAAACAGCGATCGAATAGAAATAGGAAAAGAATCACAACTGAAAGAGAGAGAATCGATCTTACCAAGTTAGGAGGGAACACCCAAACAAACGAGAAGAAAAAATGGGAACGAGAGCCAAACGAACCCTAAAACCAAAAACACCAAAGCAGGACCCGACCAAACCCTTGTTCAAAGAACATGAAAAGTGTTCAACGACACTATGTTGGACTTTTGAGAGCTTGGGAGAAGTGGTCGAAGGGTAACAAAGGTAGCAAGAACGGTGGTGGAGGCAGCTACCACCTCGCAAAGGAGGCGGCCACCGCCTCGCCGAAGAAAAACTCAGTAATGGAGTAGGCAGACAAAAAGAGTTTCCTGAAAGAATTTCGTAAGCAGACAAATTTTGACAATCTTATTTTTAGATACAGATCAAATTTACCAGGTCTTGTTGAATCTTTTTTACGAGGGTTTTCTCATTTTATTTTTTATGTTGGGTTTTCGCGCTCTCTTGTGAGTTGGGCCGATTTGTATTTGGGATTCAATTATTGTATTGTATCTTTTGAATTTGTTGGGTCGGTAAAAGTAAATAAAGATCAGTATTACCCATGTATACTTAATAATAATACATAATAAATAATAATAATAATTAATAATAAATAAGAAAATAAATGATAAGATAAAATAAGTGATAATAATAATAAAATTATGAGTAATAAAGGCTAATACTTATGCAAATTATATTAAATCCCAAAATACAAAAAACCAATCACCACAACTCAACTGCAATCCCTAACCTCCCTTACTGGTCCTCAAATCTACTATCATTCCAAATTTGTTACCTCTAAACCACCAATGTTAGTTAATATTTCTAGACCGTTAAAGAGTCAATTGATTCACAAAATATCATATTACTTTTAAGAATAATATTATTAGAATGTAACATTACTTTACATGTTATTGAGAATTGTATGTTATCTTATTTATTTTGTTTGATAAAAATATAAGATATCGGTGTTTGGTTGATAGAACATAAAATTATTGCAATGTAAATATTTTATCAAATTGTTCTTCCGATATATTTTCTTCTTAAAAAGCTGAATCTTTGATATTAAAATAAAAATATTTACATGAAAATTCATAGAATATGTATACATTTTTCTATTATTTTTAATTTATGAATTTTCTTTCATAATTTTTTTACACAAATAGGTTAATATATATTTTAATGTTATAGTAATATATTATGTATTTGAACATATAAATATGTAATATACGAATGATTTGTGATTCACTATAATTATATATTTCAAAATATTTTTAAGAAAAAATCAAATTTATAAAGTAAATATCGAATTCATTACAGAATCAAATATACGAATAAATAATTTTAAATATTATATTTATATGTTTTATTACTCAATGTATATTATTTTTGAAATTTAATTCAATGAAACAAAGTTAATCGGTAAAAATCAAATTTATAAAGTAAATATCGAATTCATTACAGAATCAATATACGAATAATAATTTTAAATATTATATTTATATGTTTTATTACTCAATGTATATTATTTTTGAAATTTAATTCAATGAAACAAAGTTAATCGGTAAGATTTTTTTTTTAATTATAGAAGCATACTTACAACATTATAAAAATTTTTTGTGTATTTATAGGTACCAAAAATGAGAAATGTAAAGTTTTACACCGATGCAAGTATGTATTTATTTATGAGTACAAAAATGAGAAATATACATACTTACACTAATGTAAATATGTGTTTATTCATAGGTACTAGAAAAATGAGAAATTTATATACTTATATCGATATAATTATGTACAAAAACACTCCCATTTCTACTCCTACTACTAATCATTTTGACAACAACTTACTCTCGGCTGAAGGCTAAGATCGTTTTCTCATTCCTTATATTTCTCTTTTCCTTATATTACATACTTAGCATTACATTGATCTTCTATGAACTAATGCATCAATTCATATCCTATTGTTATATCTTAATATCATATGATACGCATTTTATGCTTATGTTATTGATTATGTATGAACACCTTCATAACATGCATGTTCATTAAGTATTTTGAATGATAGTAGCCCCACATTCCTATACTTAGCTTACACTTTGCATCTGTTATGATTTACCTTCATTCCTAGCTTAATACATTATTATATTATGAGTTTATATCTTTCATTAGCTCATGGATATTCATACTTGGCTTATGAGTTGATTTTGATAGCTTTTACATTCATTCCTAGCTCATTTGCATCATTTACATAGGCGACAGCAAGTTAATGGATTGATTCTAACTCACATATTACTTATTTGCTTGTTCTCTTTTCATTCATAGGTGAACAATCAAGGAGGCATCACTTGGCAGCTTGGCATAGCTAAAAGGCAAGCATGAGTGGAGACAAACAACTGAACCTAGCTCAAGTATAAGGAGCCTACCCAAAGATAGCTAACGAAGCTGAATGGAGCTGAAGAGTAGCTGGCATGTAGCTGAATAGCTGGAAGTGTCACTAGCTGTTAGATTATGCCCAAAGACCAATCATATGATGATTGTAATAATACATTTATTTACTAATTTTATTGTATAAAGGCATTGCCGCTATTATTTTCAGCTATATATATGTATTTAACATAAACTAGAAGATAATAAAGTCCATATAATGACATAATTGTTATTATTAAAAGATCCCTAGTCAAGTATTATTATGGGCATGGACAATAATAATACGCTTAAGACTAACATGTTATTGATTGATGACAACGAGTTGTCATTGACATAGAGATGTCATAATTGATACATAATTATATTGTGAGAGAACAATGTATTGGATTAACCCACCATGAGCATATGTCTTGGATTATTATGTGACAGTCATAACATTGCTCATGGTGATGACTATAGTATGATCCTCAGACTTGAGATCAATACTATCCCAACATATATTGTTGTATGTTTTGATGCAGTTAAACAAGCTCTGTAACTGATTTCTCTCACTACAAGAAATTTCGATTATTTCAACTAAATTATTTATCACTAAAAGTACTATATTTGTTATGATATATTTATTTTGACTAATTTTATTTGTTACCATGTTTGTTAGAATAACCTTGTCATGTAAAGTATATTTTGACAAAATTTTGTTCGTTACCATTTTATAGTACTTATTGTAACAATAACATTTTGTTACTATAATTAACTTATCACAACAAAATATTTGTCACAATCAATTAACCATTAAGTCACAAAAACTATATTTTTTCATAACTAACTTATATTTTAACATCAAATATAAAGAGTTTTTGTGCCGAAAATAAATACGGTAACAAAAATTATTTGTCACGGTTTCTATTTCGTCACTAAAATAGAAAATACAGAGACAAAATATTTGTTAAAATAAAATATTTATTTTATCACAAAAAGTAAATTTTGTCACAATTAACTTAAATTATGACATCAAATAAAAAAATAATTCGTGACAAAAAGACATGTTACAACAAAATTTAATTTCTCACTACTTTTATTTCGTCACTAAATAGTTTCTATAAATTTTTTCTGTGACTAAATAATTTTGTTGCAATTTGTTATTGTGAAAGAATATTACTTCGTCACAATTTTTTGTATTGAGAAATTAATATTTGTTATAAATTGTTATTTTGATTAAATAAATGTCACAATTTTTATTTTAACAAAATATTGTGACGAAATAAATTTGGCATAACTTTTTATTTTGACTAAAATTACCGTGTTATTGTAACTAAATAATTTTTTTACAATTTATTATAGTGATAGTGAAAGAAGGTTATTTGTCATAATTTTTTATATTGAGAAATTAATATTTGTTATAAATTGTTATTATGACTAAACAAATTTGTCAAAAAATAACATAATTGTTATTTTGAGAAAATATTATGAAGAAATAAATTTAACATAGCTTTTTATTTTAATTAATTTTAATATATTTTTTTATTAAATTTAATATGTTATTGTGGCTGAAATCACCATTTTTTATTCATATATACATTAAAAAAAAGAAATCCAATACAAAATTGGGGCATTTAATGCTCAATAATAGTCCCAACAATGACTCATGAGCAACCCAAAAACTGAGAAGCACACCAACAATCTTCCTCTCCTTGCCACGCATGCAACAATGGTCCTTATCTGCCTTAACAACAGATGCATCCATGCTCGTGTCCATGCCCTTTGCTGCTGGGGACCATGCTCTCCCTGTACCTGTCAGCAAGTTTCTCACAAGCAAACTAGAAAAGAGCATAACAAAGAGAAGAATGTCAGAGGAAGGGAAAAAAACCTTTTTCATTTAATTATTTGATTTTTTGTAATATTGAGGGGTTCTATAAAACCTCCCCTGAATGCAAAAGGAGTAGGCTCTCTCTTGATTAAAAAAAAGAAAGGAATACAAACAGGGAGCTCCCATTTTCTTTTCTCTTGAAAGAGTGTAAAGGGAATTACATATTTAATCAGATAAATTAAAGTTTAATTATATAATATTTATAGTTGCAATGTCGCATAACTGACTAAATTTGACAATGCAGGTCAAAATTCTTGTAATGTAAGCTGGCACTAGTTGGATGGCAGCTCTATTCGTTATCCCGTTTGAAATGCTACAATTTACTAGTGCATTTGTTCAAATACATGGAAAAAATATGCAGAAAATAAATAAGGAACAAAAGTTTAGGCCGTTCACAAAAAAATCAAGTAATTCAAAAGGGATATATTTACACTAACAATAACTTTTTAAGCATCCAGAATCTCACTTGTCTCTCAAACAAAAGCTTATTCATATTTGAAAAATGGGTAAAAAGAAACCAAAACATTTATATCGATAGGCTCCTAACTCTTATGAAAGACGAATGCCAAAAATTGTTAATTCAACTAGCAAGCAAACCATATAATTTTAGTAAAGTACAGAGCCCTGATTTGAAATGCATGCCATCAAAAGCAGACAATGTCACAATATTGAGCATAAACTCATAATCTGGCGACAGATAATGAGATTTTCAACTGGAAAATATACATAATTTTATCCAAAAAAGAAAACAAGGCAAAATCAAGTCTAGGAAAAATCAATCAATCGTCACGAATCTTCGGCTATTTATTTTCTAAAAGTTAAAAAGTGAATCTAAAACACAACTTCAAATCATCAATATCACAGGCTCAGAGCAATATGCAAATAAGAAAAATGAAATTACTCAGTAACATACTAATATTTGAGCTGTACTGGGGACTGAACGAGTAGCAGTTCTTGCAGCAGCAACCTTTCTTCTTGAAATGACATAAACATTGCAAAATTCTGGTGCCAATTTTAGTATGATAGATTGAACATCTGTTCCTTCGAATAACCGACACGTACATAACGCAAAATTCATGCATACATACATTCATACACTTTTGAAAAGTAGAAGGAAAACATGCATTATTTATGGGGTACATTGAAATTCCAGTCTTTGATGCTGCACCAACAAACAGAGTTTCAATTTCATATTGGTGAACATATCCGACAAGTGCTTTTGCAACATCTGAATCCTCTAGTACAACTGCTTCACACTGTATCTGTATGCATTGAAATTTGGGCAAATTTTGGGTTGGATTTAGTCATCAGATCAATTTAAATTTTATAAATATCATATAAATTCAAATTTGAATCAACCAAAAACGTGTCCGAATAATGAATCCATTGATCAATATTTTCAATCCTTAATAATAATCTTTAATTTCGCCACACAGTTGTATTTGAATCCACACAAATATCATACAACTAGTTTTAATGTCGCTGTTAGAATCTCTTCCTTAATCCAAACACCTGACAGCTCACCTGTTTACGGGCGCATAAGCTTCGAAGTCGAAGGAAGAAGTCCATGTTCTGACAACTTGTGGATCAATAACAACGCTACCATCATCTGATGAAGGAACCGATTGATATAATTACCATTTGAGATTACACATTAACAAACAATAAAGCCCTAATTAAGGTGATATATACCTGGATTAACAGGGCTGATTGGTTTATGAAGAACATGAACGAGCCTCAAGGTTTGGCCTCTGATGAGGAAATTATCAACATCCCAGTGGAGAGCTTGCAGGCTGTATTTGTCCTTGTCTACCGCAACGACCACTAATCTATCTCTTCTTTCCCCTCTTTCTCGATCCCCCCTCGTGCTGAATGAGTTCTACTCGTATTTATTCATTAAAATTTTGGAACATATTTGATTTCTAGGTTTCTAGGTTTAGGGTTGAGACGAGAACCAAGGAAACAAGGAAACAAGGAAACAAGGAAGCAAGGATTGTGAGAAATTAAATTGAAAGAAATTCAAAAGTGGAACTTTTAGGAAATCCAAAAATCATTACGCGGATTTATGAAAGTTGTGAGAAATTAAATTGAATGAAATTATAGTCTAAATTATGAACCGAAAATAAACTGTGTAAACAAAGGGCCAAATTGAATTTAGATAAAAACATAGAGTCAGAAAGATAAACTTTGTTGACATTAGGGGCTTAATTGTAATTTACCCATTTTCTATCTTTTATTGACTATTTATGGTCAATTTTAACACACGAACCCTGAATTTTAATACTCCCTATATTCCATTAAATCTATCTTTTATTTACTTTTTATGGTCATTTTTTTAAATTTTAACTTATTATTATTTAAAAGTTATTATTGATAAAAATATTAAAAATTATATTTTAAAAACGTTCAATCGAGTAGTTTTAAAATATATATATTTTATTAAATTTAATTGTTTGAAATATTTAAAATAACCATGGTCAATGTGTTAGAGTATGCCCAAAGACCAATATGATTGTAATAATACATTTATTTATCGATTTTATAATAAATGCATTGCCGCTATTATTTTCAGTTATATTTATGTGTTTAACATAAATTGGAAGATAATAAAGTCCATATAATCACATAATTGTTATTATTAAAAGATCCATAGTCAAATATTATTATGGGCATGGACAATAATAATACGCTTAAGACTAAGATGTTATTGATTGATGACAATGAGTTGTCATTGACATATAGAGTTCAGAATTGATACATGATTATATTGTTAGAGAACAATGTATTGGATTGACCCACCATGAGCGTATGTCTTGGATTATTATGTGACAGTTATAACATTGCTCATGGTGATGACTATATGTATGATCCTCAGACTTGAGATCAATACTATCCCAACATATATTGTTAAATGTTTTAATTGGTTGCTCTATAAAGACTGTTATTGAATATATCTCAATATATGTAGTGGGTGTGTATGATTAAGATATGATTTGTCCTTCCTACATAATAGGAAATATATCATAGGCCACTTGATTGAGTGAGACTAGAAACGCATGATCATGCTCGAATAAATTGATATGAGATATCACAAACTATTCGTTAATTAAAGTCTACTCTAGATATCAAGAAACAATAGATGGGCTATACAAGTGTGACTATTCCAAGGCTTGTGCCTATTCTAGATATAAAGGACATAAGGATGTAATACATAAAAGTGTTAATCACCAAGATGATATGTCGAATCATATTTTCTTGTAACTTAGGTAACAATGATATATAGTTAGATGTCACTCATTGTATGTAATATAAGGATTGTTCTAATAATTACTGCTAACTTTACAAGAAACTACAAGGTTACACCATAGGATTGAAACGAGCAAAGATGTACAATTTGTTGTACGTTACTAAAATATATCTACAGTTAATATATGTATGTTTGATATACATATGTTTTAATGATCCTGAATATTTAATTTCAATTAATTAAATAAAGATTTAATTAATTTGAAATAATAAAATCCCTAAAATGATTAGGGTAACTTGGATATAAAAGGATGTGTAAGGTCTAGCAGCCGTTTTTTAACACACATATCTTCAGCCATTTTTTCTTAAAATCAGTTTTGGGAAAATCAAATTTTGCTCTCGATCGGGTGAACTGAGTAGAGGTCAAGACGTAATTTCGTGGAGGCTTACGATTCAAACTGATCGACACCAACATTAGTCGTTGCTATCCTTACTATTTTTCAAGGAACCCGCTGTAAGTATCTGCATCCTTTCCTCCCAATTTCGGTTTATCGTACTTGGATTGCTGGTGAGACCGTCAAATTTTGTTTCCCCTGCGCCATGGGGTGAGCCAACGGTCACAATAGTGGTTTTAGAGCCACTTGTACAATCTGAATTCGGGTTAAATTCTTGGTTGATGCGATATGTATGAGATGCATATGTTCTAGTTTTATCATTTTCGGCAATTATGCATGATATCATTGTTAGATTCGATAACAACAACGATCAATATATTAATTTTTAATATATTTTTACAGTCTATGTGTTGCTGCAAGGATTTTGCGAAATCTATATGTCAATTGTTGACATGATGATCTGTGGGTAAGCGATAACATATCGAGTTTGGCAGTGGAACAATGGTTGTTCCGATGTATAAAACCTTAAGGATTAAAAATCCCAAAAACACGATTCTGTTGATAAGTGTTATCAAATAGTGAGGTTTTTCTATAGAAACGGAAGTACTAATTTTCAAAAACAAAATCACACCGGGCGTCGCGGTATGACTGATGCGCGCTAGGGGCTTCGCCCCTAGACCCCGCAAGGGACTTCGCCCTTTGACCCTTCATCAGCAGTACAAATTGTAGGCCCATATTAATATTTTTAACAAAGGCGTAAGAATATGTATATTATGATATGTTTGTTTTGAACGATGTTTGACATGCATGGTTATAGGCCTTATTCAATTTGTAATGGTTGAATTTAAAACTGTGAGTCATGCCTTTCTATATATCAGTTGTATTTCTCTTCTCATCTTACTCCCTCATATGTAAAACGAGTTTCTTTTAAAATTGTAATCCTATGAAGATTCACAAGTAGCAGAAGAATGGATTGAACTAAAGGCGAGAAGATACCTAGATAGTAGTCTTAGGTTTTAAGTTTTTTTTTCTCCCATTGGCTTGGGATGAGCCACCTTAGTCATTGTTTTTGGGCTATAACCATTGTATCTTATTTATTGCTATATTTTTTTTATGTATGTAATGCATCAAATGATAAAATAAGAATGAATATTGATGAGATCAATAAGGGCCTAATATTAAAACGAACAATGATGAGATAATTACGCAAATCCCTCTTTATAATATAAGTTAACTTAACCGTCCAATATTTACCCTAGTTAAGACTTCGATCGATATTATGTGGGATTTGCCAAAGCATTGGCACATTAATCTATCTTGGTTAAATGCGAAGAATAAGCAAGTGATATTCACCGGTTTAGATATTGGTAATAACTTAGCTAGGTTATTCTAATAGGATTAGAAACCTAGAGGTTAAGTATTTGGATAAGTCATGAGATGACTTGACAATAGTTGTTCACCAAAAGGAGGAGTTACATTAGATGTAACTAGTAAAGTGTTACTTACCTAAATAATCACTATCCTAACAGAAAAGCCAAGGCTCATTTAGGAAATTGATGTATTATGGATCCTCACCCACTAGAAAAACTTTCGTTGAATTTTTTCAAAATTAAATAAGAGAGGTCTTTTAATTTTGAATAAAACAGTGGGAGTAATTTGTAAATAAAGACCTATTTATAAATTTTAATTCGGTAAATTTACTTAATTTAATATTTCCATTGTTGTAGATTTAATGGCAAACAACACTTTATCACTACGATCACTCACTGAGAATGAGGAGCTTAATGGCATAAACTATCTTGACTAGTTTTTTAATTTGAGAATTGTTCTCAATCAGGAAAGGAAAGAATATGTCATTGAAGAACATGTTCTTGATGAACCGACAACTAATGCTTTAAGAGCTGACAAAGACAAATTCAAGAAACATATGGATGATATGTAAGACGTTGGATGTTTAATGCTTGCCACCATGACTCCTAAGCTTCAGAAGCAATATGAGGACATGATTTCATATAAGATGATTCAAAATCGCAAAGAAATATATAAGGGCAAGCACATCAATAGAGATATGAGACATCTAAATCTCTATTTCAATGCAAAATGGTAGAGGTAACTCCTGTAGGATCTCATGTAATCAATATGATGGGCTACATCCAAACGTTGGAAAAGTTGGGATTTCCTCTCAAAGATGAATTGGATACCGATGTTATCCTGCAATCATTGCCAAATAAATTTAGCCAGCTTGTCCTTAATTTCAACATAAATGAAATTAACAAGACTTTTCCACAGTTACTTGGCATGTTACGAACTGCTGAAAGTAACACGAAAAAAGTTAGACCTAAGCCCATTCTAATGGTCCATAAGAACAAAGGAAAGGGAAAGAAAACGGTAGTGGCAAAGTCTAAGGGCAATGGTAAGACCAAACCGAAAGGGAAAATGCATTGAAACCCAAAGGGGGAGTTATCAAAGAATGAAAATGTTTCCTTTGCGATAAGACCGTACACTGAAAGAGAAATTTCCCTGTTTACCTTGAAGAGGTCAAGAAGGTAAAAGAAAATGGAACGCTTTTTTTCAGATATTTATGTTATTGATGTTAATTTGTTAACATCTACTTATTAGGTATTAGATATCGATTGCGGTTTTCATATTTGTACTTCTATACATGGACTGAAAAAAAAAGGTATCTGGCTAAAGGAGACGTAGACCTAAGAGTGGGAAATGGAGCAAGAGTTGATGCATTAGCTATAGAGACATATGTTTTATCTTTGCCAGTGGACTTGATTTAAATTTAGAGGATTGTTATTTTGTGCCTAGTTTGACTAAGAACATTATTTCTATTTGTTGTTTGGACAAGTTTGGTTTTGGGATTATTATTAAAAATAATTGTAGATATTTTTATATCGATAATGTTTTTTATGGTTCGCCGCAATTGGTTAATGGTCTCTATATTTTGGATCAATAAAACACCATTTATAACAAATTCTAAAAGATCAAAAACAAATGACTCGAATCAAACTTATCTTTGGCATTGTCGTTTAGGCCATATAAGTGAGTAAAGAATATCAAAACTCTATAAATATGGATTCTTAGATTCATCTGTTTTCGAACAATATGATGTATGTGAATCTTGCTTGTTAGGAAAATGAATAAAGCTTCTTATAATTGTAAAGGTGAGAGAGCAAGTGACTTATTGGGGTTAATACATAGTGATGTATGTGGACCAATGAATACACAAGCCAGAGGTGGATTCCATTACTTCATTACCTTCACCGATGACTTCAGTCAGTATGTGTATATTTATCTTATGCACCATAAATCTGAAGCCTTTGAAAAGTTTAAGGAATTTAAAAATGAAGTACAAAATTAGCTAGGGAAAAGTATTAAGGCACTTCGATCAAATCGAGGTGG